TGGTTTGGTTGATGAACTTAATCTAACCGTTGGACGAGTGTGATTGAAAATAAAACCATCATCGAGCAGACAAGGTGAGTCGCCTTCTTTCAGATGGCAGCTCAAAACCCTGTCTCTCATTTAATCTATCAACCAAGCATAAGTATTGTTAGGGGGACTTTCAGTTCGTATGAAAGTGAATAAAGAAGAGATTCGTTGGTCGATCTCACCTGATGAGGATGGATGAACCTTGTTGTACTACAGCCGTTTGGCTTTTATACGATATTCATGTTGACGCAGTCCACAAGACTTCCTCCCGCGTTTCGGGTGAAAACGTGCAGAACTTTCGTCCATCATATGATAAACATCATCAGAGCTGGGTGTCATTCTTGTAAGAGTCTAACGTTAACACTAGGCTAAAAACACTATCCGGCTCTATCTCACCTCTTATATATATACAATTGAGCCAGAAGAAAATTAAAAACCTAGATAGATCGATATAGAGTGGTTTTTTAATTTTCTTTTATACTGGTCCTGTTTTTTCGCTCGATTGTATGAGTATGTATTTGTGTGTGTTAGCGTTTATATGCAATACGGTTCCTAAATCAGAGTTGTCAAAGTTTTAATCTCCGGTTCTGATCCTCAAGACCTAATGACCCAAGAAAAAGCTTTGACTGAGACTGCATAGCTCCGTAAACAAGTATGGTCGAGATAATGAGATATGAACTTGTAAGCATGAAAATCAAGTCACAAAATCATTTGTCCTAAGCTTTTAGTCTAGGGTCATTAACGTTCAACCCTTCAACCCTTCAAGGAAAGATAAGACGAGTGCAGGGCGGAAGGGGAGATACCATAACTGTTTAGCATACGCTTGGTCAAAGGATCGGCTTAACTTGTCTCTGACGAGTAGCTGTGTGGTGCTTAGGATAGCGATACTCACTGACGATGCCGACTACGATGCCGGCGAAACGTTTGGGAATGTACCACGTCCACGGTTCAACTTTGATCATGCAGACACTGGACTCCGGACTAGGTGCGTTCCTCTAAGTCTTCCTACTAATATATACATGTTGGAAAACAAGGTCAAATAACCTCTATACAACGAAAGGAGACTGCGACCACACAAATAGCCACACCATCTTGGTCTTCATACCTTGGATAAGTAGTTCCTACTCAAATTTCTACCACCGTTCATCACACTCAACGTATTTCCTAAGCTATTAATTTGAATAGCCCAGCTTATA